TACCTTTAAGCATCCATTAAGGACTTTGAGATGGCTTAATGGTAACTTAATGGTGGTGTATTTATTACTTAAATGTAGCTTAAAGGTGCTTAATGGTGACTTAAAGACAACCATTAAACCATCATTAAGGACCTATAAGCCACCATTAAGCCAAACTTAAAGGAAGTGTTTCATCTTGTGAACAGTGTCAAAGCCTGTAACATCATAGTTAAGTGGTTGAGAGGTCATACCTTAGCATTTGTGTACATGAAAACACTGTAGCCATTAGATTTCAACAACATAATTGTAGAAACTTTGGCAGTCTAGTCTCTATCGGGATTTATTTACTTTATCTTATAACAGACGATGGAGTATTTTTCACAAAACACTTCGTGAATGGAAGGAACTTTTACATTTTTGACACTGTGTCAGACCATCACTTTTATTCAATAAAATGTAAGTGCAATACTTTATCCATTATCGGTGAGTTACATGTACATACACAGATTTTAAATTTGAATTTCTTTGTTAGACCAGCATTCTACAGAATATTAGTCCAATAACAATATCAGCAGAGGAACGATTGTCTTTATATCTAAGATTTAAAAAGAATCAGGCCTTGATGAACTGGTAGAGATGTGAAAAGACATGGAGTATACAGTATCGTACAGTATAATGGAATTTGAATTTTTGTTTTTGTCGTCTTATGTTTCTTTTTTGTACTTGTATATCTCTTATAAATAAAATGTCAAGTAAACTGTACAATTTTGTCTTATGTAATCGGAATGCAAAAACAGCAAATACTGTACATGGGTTGTCATTAGAAGACTTAATATATTCAAAAGCAAGTTCTATGGCTTTTGCTTCTGCTGTAGAAAATGTTGGTTCCTTTGGAAGCCGTGATGAAAAAAAAATATTCTTAATTACTGCAGGCGCTGCTACTTTATTTTTCTCTTTTGATCTATCTGTATATGTCTCAACTGTAGAATTCTTAGATTGATTTAATTTAGCTACGCAGCACTGTTCAGGCGTACTTCAAAGAAATCAACAGAATATAAACGTGCATAAATACATACCTTTTTAAAATGAACTTTAATTTTGTAAAGGTTCTATATTATCTTATGACTTTAACATTCTTTGAAATAACATTGTTTACCCCGCTCTGTACTGAATTTGGTTTGGTCACGTTATTTGATAGTCAAGTGATAAATGCATATAATGTGTACTGTATGTAGGTCACAAACAAATTTCAATATCGCAAGGGCATACCCTAGTTAAAATTAAAAATTAAAGTAATAGACTGTTTCTACATAACTTGTAGTTAATGGAAAGTGCTGCTGCTTTAAATAGAATTCGCATTTTATTAGTTTAAATTTCAAGTTATCTTGCTAATGTCGAAATATGTGTGACCTTTACCAAGTATTTTATGTATTTATTAAGTTATGCTATCGATTTCAGGAAAGCAGCAGCACTTTTCAAGTTAAGGAATATGTCCATTATGTGTATTCAAAAAATTGTCAAGATCTCTTAAGTGTATGCCCTTGCGAAAAGGCGATTTAATGAGGCACCTCGGCGTGAAAGATGCACACCCTGTAGACAAAAACACGGTAGAATTAATTCAATACATTCTCTCGATATTTTTTGAATAATGGCACTAAACAAACGTTTCAGATCTGTATTAATAGTCTACCCAAGATTTTCAAATAATATTCTGTTTAATTATAAAATGCATTTTTCACTGTGAAAAAATTACTTGATCCGCCTTTCACTGCACATAAAATGCGTCAAACTTTACCATGATGACGTCATGTCGACAAGTGCATTGCGATCAGTGACTTGTTTATATCTTGTTGTGTGGGATTTAACTAGCGACAAAAATGAATGCAGTGGTAAGTTTTGATGTAGCTCATTACTCATATGCAGCTTAGATTCGCAAATTATTTCATTTCTGTTATTGTGAGGAATTGATATATTTGTGTGATGTCACAGTAATCTTTTCCCGTATAAATTAGGCCACGCCCCCTCAATGCAGCCTTAACAGAGCTGCGTAATTTCTGTTCAAAAATAAAAAAATTCGTTTCCGATTTCTAAATTTCTGTTAAAGATGTATTTACTTTTGGTTTAATTAATTTCCATGTGGCATTTTAGAGAAATTTATGGGTTTTATTATGTCCAAAGGTAGGTCAGTATCCCTGATATTTTTTTTTTTAATTCTTTTTCTTAAATCTGACTAAAGAGCGATAGAGTTTAAAAAGAGCATTTTTATCTGCCCCTATCTTGTACTTGAAATAACTTCTTAGCATCTAAATCCTTTTTACATTTCTCTTTGAGCATTTTAATTTGTGGCATTTTAGAGAAATTTATGGGTTTTATTATGTCCAAAGGTAGGTCAGTATCCCTGATATTTTTTTTTTAATTCTTTTTCTTAAATCTGACTAAAGAGCGATAGAGTTTAAAAAGAGCATTTTTATCTGCCCCTATCTTGTACTTGAAATAACTTCTAAGCATCTAAATCCTTTTTACATTTCTCTTTGAGCATTTTAATTTGTGATACAAAAGAGATTTTACTTTCAAAGATAATGCCTAAAACCTTTTTCTCTTTATTTACTTTTATAGGGATTCCATCTAGACGCAAATGTGATATGTGTGGTCCTTTCCCGGTAAAGGAATAGGAATAATTGTAGCTTGAGTCAAGGAAGGTGGAAAATGATCACACTCCCAGATCGTATTAAAAATTCGTATAAGACGTTCTTTACTGTTTAAAGGAAGGTGTTTTATTAGTTGATAGTGGATCTGGTCCGGTCCTACCGCTGTATTACAAAATTTATCCAGACACTTGTAGTTCATCTATAAATGGATAATTATAGCATTCATTGCTTTCAGATGTAAAATTAAACGTTATTTTTTTTCTTGTGGATTTTTATATTTACTGAATTTAGGGCTTATCTTGTTTGTGGAGGATTTTTTTTTTAGGAATTGCATTATCTATTTCATTTTTATTTGTAATAATTTGATTTTTCAACATTAAAATGTTGTTTTTCATGTTTTTGAATAGAATTATTTTCTGAGGAATTATTTATTTCAATGATAATTGGGAACGTCGTGTACTGACCAACTAAAATCCAAAAGTAAAGAAGGATGTACGAAAGTAATATCTATTGAGGAATACGAACCATTACCCGGATGCAATTAAGAAATAGAGCCGTTATTAAGTATACAGAGATTATGATGTGATATTGTATATTGTATTTTCAATTTTTCCCATTTATCAGTTATTTTGTCGCTACCCCATAGTAGATTATAGGCATTACAGTCACCCACAATCAAAAATAGAGCAGGAAGTTGTTTTAATTTTGTAAGTTCTAAAGCTTCTTAATGAAAGAGTTTGGAGGTAGGTACCTGTAGACAGAACAAATGGTTATTGTTTTTTCTAGAGAAAAGCGTACAGCTACTGCCTGGAGATTTGTTTGAAGATCTGATAGTACTCATAAGTACTCTAAATTGATATTAAAAAGATGCTTTAGTTTCTGATTTGCAATATCTATGTGGTTTTTAGAGTCAGGGTCTTTAGAACTTTTGTACTACAGTATATTCAAGAAGAGGTTAAATCAAATGTGGAAAACTCATCGAATAAACAAAATCTATAAAAGTACTAAAAAATAAAATTAAACGGGTCAATTTTTCAATGAAGTCATTTAAACTAAAACTATATCTGAAATAATAATTATATGCTTAATCAGGTGAATATGTAAAAGGTATTGGAAAGGTAAATGCCATAGGTGTCGGAACCGGGGGGAGGGGGGCTTAACACTGTACAAAAGTTAATATTTTTGTGAGTAGTAAAGATAGGGGTTTTGTGGGGCAGTTGAATAACGGAACTTTTTATATTTTACTCGCTCAATTTCCCTTTCATTAATTGCAGAGCAATAAAAACGTAACTGTTTTTTTTAAAGATACATTTCTTCTATCTTTACATTTATTCTACATAAGTGTACAAAATTAGACATAAACAAACACAAGAATATTTCAAACACTTTTAATATCTATTTACAGATTTCATAAATTAATATATAAGTGTCTTTGATTTTCATTTTCCTTCCTCTAAAAAATTTGAAGTCGTGAATGGATTTATTGAAGTTTTATTTAAGAGTTCAAAATAAACTTTTTTACTACATGACATCATACACTGTTAATTGTCTTTTTGCAAATGCTTTCATTGAATACAGGTGTATTCTCACTCATTGGAATATTAAACAATATAAGCTATAGAAAAAAAGGTTGATGTTGAAAAGGCCTACAGACCTCGTAGCATGCATCTCTAGATGCGTCATCACTGGAGATCTCTAAAAGTAGGATTGAAAGTTAATAAGAAATATAACTGCTCCAAAAACTTAAACCTTTCCATATAGTATAAAAACATTGAAGTCTTTCTTAGTCCCCTACCGGTGAAACCGGAGGGGACTATAGGTTTCCTCTGAGTCTTTTCCGTCTGTTTGTCTGTCTGTCAGTCAGTCTGTCCAACTTGGTTTTCCGCGCTATTTTCCTAAACGCTTGCAGATACTGAGCTGATTTTTGGTACGAGAGTGAATCTTAATTAGTTACAGATAAAATTTACATTTCATGATTCAATGATTTTTGACGGAAGTAGGACCTTATCAATTTTTCAGGGTTTTCCGCAATTTTTTTCTAAACGCTTGCAGATATTGAGCTGATTTTTGGCATGTGACTCTACCTTGATGATTTATAGATCAAGTTTGCATTTCGTTTCGCTTCAATGATTTTTAACGGAAGTATGGCATTTTCAATTTTTAACGGGAGCAAGATTACACTTGCCGGTATGGGACTAGTATTGCTAATTCAATACTCTCAGAATGCTTGTAAATTGTACATATTTAAGACTTGTACTTAAGCATGTTCTCGCGTGTGTGTAGGAATAAATGTATCCTCCGTTAATTCGTCTGCTCTAAAGATATCTATGCATTGATTAAAAAAGATTATATACGTATAAAGCGATTATTTTATTAACGGGATTTTATCATTATTTGAGTTTCAGCTATATCCAGTCCATTCCAGAAATATGGCGGCCAGGGTTCCAGCCAGTTTCCCGGGGCCCAGGGTCCGTTAAGGAAGGCTCGGTGACAGGCATTGAACCACCATCCCCCTTCCATTCTGACAGCACAGTTGTAATCCCCTGGCTTATTATCGTTATCCCTGTCTAGGGTGGAAAATCCCATTCCAAGAATAACTCGATCTGTATTTATCATATTGTCACCTGTTAATAATAAATTTTTGTTCAAAATGTATATTTCATTGTAAAGGTAAAATATTCCAAAAGTCAATACTGTTAATATTGACCCGGAAAAAAATCATCGAAAAAAGATATCAATATGACTTTACTTCGAATATTTTGAATCGTATCGGCTGTTTCAATTCCTTAAATATCCAACATACCTTGCATATATATTTCAGCAGCACATATTTGAGACTCCATTTGAAAATTATTAATGAGAAAAAAAGGACTCAATACCATAAGAAATATCAAAGACAATATATTGAAAAGAAAATAAACTCCTCTATTTTTGATTAAAGAGGTAGATAAACGCGACTGAAAGGTTCATCATTAGTCATCTTGAATCACAATTAAAAGATCATTAATCCAAAATTAACTAAAAAAAACAAAATACAAAACAAACAAACAAACAAACAAACCAAAAAATAAATAAATAAATAAATAAAAATAAAAAGAACAAATGCCACTTCTTTGTGAAGGGATTGTTTTAATATTTTTTTCCAACAGCGCCAACCTATTCATATAAATACTTACAAGCATTAATGAATCGACAAATTATTTGAACAATAAAATTCATGTCCTTACCAAGCGTTCCTGATACTGGTCCTGCAAGAAAGAGTCTGTAGTTGTCGTTTTCATCTGATACAGAGAACTGGTTATAAAGCTCGTATCTTTTATATCCATTTTTTGCTTTGATTGAAAGATAAAGAGATGGCCGATCCTTCGTTAGTTGGTGAATAGCAGCATGTCCTGTAACAAAAATTGGCACTTCAACTGTTATCTAAGTAACTGTGTGACTACATTTGGTAATATGGATCAACAATTATTTCTCCAAGACAAGCTCCTAGGTTAGGCTCCTAATTCAAAAAATTTAGTCGCCAGTGCAAATTTTTAGTTGCCAGGCAACACTTACAAAACCTCAAAAGCTTATATGAGTCATTAAAGGGACCAATGGGGGTGAGGGGGATTATCACGGGAGGGGTTGTTTAGTGCCCCTTCCACATTTAAATGTGGACGGAAAACAGCTGTCACCACCCCTACTCCTGGTCGAAACAGTATTGTAGGAGATACAGTGACTAGGAAATGTTCAAAGTAGAAATGTATAAAAACCGGTTTTCTTCTCAAATATTTACTTTATACTTGATTGAACACACAAACCTCCATCTTGTAACTTTCCATATGCAATCAATGCATTCGCTAAAACAATCGTTAAGAAAATTCCCCCATGAAACAAAAGCTAGTTAAGTGCCGAAACGTTTTAAGCATGCATGTTATACTTTGATATTCATTAAATGTTTTAATCGATCATTTCTTTTTTTAAAAATTTTGGAGCTAATGAAATATTCTTTAAAACTACAATAATATCGAGGATTGCTTAATACCTGATTAACATGTTATGCTCTTCCGCTAATTACAACCTAATATGTACATGTAACCTACTATGTAATCGATATCTCTGATTCGTAAGAGTTTCACTGGCCAAAATTGACCACATCCCGTCCAATTCACTGTATTTTACAAATGTTCCCATTTAAAAGCAAAAAATTACCGGGAACAGCTATTGTCTTATCTGGTCTACCTGAGTTCTGCGTGCACGTGCGTTTACTGTAAAAACAAATTACATAGAAAACAGAAGGCACGTCCATTGCTAAAAAGGGATTTTCCACCTTTAAATTTCTTATCATCTCCAGAAAAAAGCATTTATAGTTCCTTAATTCGATCGTCAAGTCAATTAAAAAACTGGCGACTAATAGAGAAATTTTAGGCGCCATAGCGACTAAATTTGTCGGCAATTTGTGCCCTGTTAAAATGTACGAGCTGTATATATATTTAAAATACCATTGTCATAATTTAGTATTTTTTTAATATATTTTTTAGTCAAAAATAAAATTTTAATACATCACGTCTTGCAACATTTTTATCTTACCTATCCAATAATCTTCTGGGATTCCAAACCCGACTTTGTAATCAGCCCACGTCCGTGTGAAGTTCACAGATCCTCTTGTTCGCCTTTGTATTGCCTTCAGAAAAGGAAAAAAAACCATTCAATTTTGTTTCATTTTTTTTCTTCTTTTTCCTTTTCTTCTTTTTTTATTCATATTTGTTTTTATCATCTAGCTTACAGTCCAGCCGCCACCAAGTAGCGCCATATCACAGAACACCTTCACAGAACGACAAGCAGGACTAGATCTTTCCCATGGATAGATAGTGTACACGCCAGACCTTACAGTCACGAGTATAAAATACATGCATATTTTAAAACTAATAATTAAATTATGAAATCAGCTTTACGTACATTTCATATTACATGTAGTTAATATTTGGAATCAATGATTTATGTCCTTTTAGGGTGCTTCCGATAATTACATATCCTTGATTACTCAGAGAAGGGATTATTTGTTTTGAGTGATATTTTAAGGAGTTACCCTTTTTCAATGCACGAGTTTACGTTATTATCGTCAAGTATTTAGTATCTGCTTTATTATTTTTCTTGCACATTTTTAATTTGAGCCTATAATATGCATCAATCCCGCTCTTGATTTAAATTAGGATTTCAAGCATTGTTTTATTATGTTGTTTCAGGCTGGATCCTAATAAGTTCTTACACTAAAATACCTTTTCACAAATTTAATTTAAAAGAAAAAAAATTCTGTTATTGCTGCTTCTTACATAGTCTGCTTTCATGGAAAAATTTTCATTTATCTGCTTAACTGCATTTGGTTTCAAGTTCCATCCTTAATAAATTCTAAAAAGATATAATAACACTTCCTTGTTACTTTCAGGTTTCTAAGACGCCATGTTTATTTCTTAAATGAGTACATACCATGTGGCTTAGGAGTATAGTATCTCCAAAAAGCTTCATACACTGTCATATCCGTTGTGTCACATGACTCTAGGACGCGACATTTCTTTGTGTGAATGTTAAATCCATAACAAGATCACCCACAAACACTGCCACATAAAACGGTACAGTGACAAAGAGAAGACGAGCTGTACTCTGCGACTGGACTATATGTAGATATCTTGTTGACAATATCCAGTTGTTCTACATAACCTTGTGAGTCCTCGGCATATAGGAGTTTTAAAAAGACCAAAAATGAAAATACGTACACAAGCATGTTGTTTAATTTCTTTATCTTAGAAATAATGAAAAAAAAAAAACTATTAAGGTCCATCTTAACCAATTGTGTGTTTCTAATTTATCCTCAAAACCTTCTTACTAAACCCAAACATTCTGTCATCGCAAAATGTTTTTAAACCTCAGCAACTCTTCGTAGACGCTGATTTGTTGGATCGTTTTCAAAATCAATATAACAGGTTTTCGCCATTAACTGTATCTGGGAATATTGAAAGTCGAAAGTTAATAATGATTTATGTTGAATTAATGAAATGTATGGAGAAAACGAACAGTATTCAAACTCAAAAGTCCATTAAGCAATACAAAATAGGAGCAGAGCAAACACGAGCCTCTAAAACATCAGAGGTGGGATCAGGTGCCATGGAGGAGTGAGCATCCCCTGTCGACCGGTCCCACCCACCGTATGCTCCTTGTCATGATCGGGAAATAGCGAAAAAAAAATCCGTCGACAATTCAGTGTGTTAATAATGAACTAATAATTCGTATGAAAAACGTCAGTCAGCATTTGACTTAATGATAAATTGTATTTGCTGACAAAGTCATTGTATCGACCATTGTTCTTACGAAATGACGACTTTAAACGAGACTGTTGATATTCTTGTTTCATCAACTTGTTTGTCAAGGAGAATTTCTTTTTATATAAAATTTGATATCATTTTTTAAAAAAGAAATAGTCTAAAATGAACTAAAAAATAATTCGGTTTGGTGAGGTAACTGTAAATCAACTGGGGTGGTAGGGGTTTGGAGGGGGTGGTAATATCAGTGTAACATCTGAGCTAATAGATATGACGTCAAGTTGGAACTAGACGTCATATCTTAAGCTGGCATGACGGGGGAAGTGTCCTAACTATTTTAACCATTTCTGGATGAAACAAAAGTGTTAACAAATAGTTGAAATAGAAATTATACTGATATGAAAATGCAATGATGTCTGTTGAATGCATACAAAGAACTGCGAACAATAGTTTTCTACTGCCGCCGTCATTCAAGTCAATTGTCATAAGTTAAAATATTTGATTTTTTCAAATTTATATAGATTATCTATAAAAAAAAAAATCATACATATCTTTAATTTATGTCAATTTCATGCAACGTAACTTTTAGGGAGAAAGGAGAGAGATAAATCCCTAATTTTGGTTTGATATTTTTAAAGAGAAACTTTTTTTTTACCTTTCGATGGAATTACTATAATCTTTCTAAGATCATAGAAATGACATTCTGTTTGATTTTAATATATTATCAAAAAGATTTTTAAATGATATTGATATCTATTCACCATTAGTCTTATTAGTAATTCCAAATGTTCTTTGTAATAAAATCAAGTTCAGAACGTCTTTTTCAGTGATGCAGTTTTATGATCAAAAGGATATAAGTGGGTGCACAGAAAACATCCACTCCTGTGAATTTTAAAGTGTGTTCAGGCACATGTATGATACAACAAAAAAGGTATTTCTATAAAGTGGACGAACTTATTTTTACATCAAGTTGATGGAATAACCAACATATATACATTTGTTACATTTTACAACAAATAGTTTGTGATTACCCACGGAAAATAAAATATATATGTCAAATATCTACGTATTTTTTAATGACGCTCGTATTACATATTTCAATAGAGTCTTGGTTCAATCACTCAATGAAAACATTCATTATTCATGGAACTAAAATTAGTCTCTGTTCTTAAATTATATTTAAAACAAGATAATAAAACCTATAGTGTGTACTTTTTATATTATGCCAAAAAGCATCTTTTTGAGTATGGAAAAATTGAACTAGTTTCCGCACAAGATTTGTTTTGTAAATCATAATTTTATAAAAGGGAGGCATTAAAGCAATTATCAAACTAAGAAGAAAAAAAAATCATTGTTCATCAACAGACAATCTTGTACAAAAGGAATAAATTTGTGCTTTAAATGATCAAGGCATTCACAAAATACAACTCATTATTTTCCTGAGAGTTGAAAACCTTTGAAGTCACCCCTCCGGACACAATACAAGCAAATCATGTATCGCGGGGAAAAAAAATTAAGACTTGCTTTAAAGAATAAAAAAAAACAAACTTAAATTCGTCCAGAATTAAAATTGAAATGTCATCTTCAAAATTAAATTTAAAAAAAAAAAAAATAAAAATACCCCCCCCCCCCAAAAAAAAGATAAAGGGAAGAAAGAAAGAAGTAAAAACAAGATGTGGTTGTGAAACACTGATGCCCCCGTATGGCAGCTTATGGCGTAGGTTAAAATATCTCAAATGCAAGTCAAAATCCAGGCCAAAAGATAAAAAATGTTAAATTTGAAAGCCCTAGCTGCAACTGTTCAAAAGTTATAGCCAAGGTTAAAGTTTTTCAAAAGTAAGTAAAACATCAAGGTCAAGGTCAAAGTTGTTGGTATCCAGAGGAAGGTCTTGTCACAAGGATTAAATATGTAAAGTATGAAAGCCCTAGCACCAACCATTCAAAAATTATGGCCAAGGTTAAAGTTTTTCAAAAGTAGGTCAAACTCCTAGGTCAAGGTCAAAGTGGTTGATATCCAAAGGAAGGTCTTGTCACAAGTATTACATATTTGAAGTATGAAAGCTCTAGCTCTAACCGTTCAAAAATTATGGCCAAGGTCAAAGTTTTTCAAAAGTAGGTCAAACTCCTAGGTCAAGGTCAAAGGGTAAAAGTGGTTGGTATCCAAAGGAAGGTGATGTCACAAGGATTACATATGTGAAGTATGAAAGCCCTAGCTCTAACCGTTCAAAGGTTATGACCAAAGTTAAAGTTTTCAAAAGTAGGTCAAACTCCAAGGTCAAGGTCAAAGTTGTTGGTATCCAAAGGAAGGCCTTGCCACAAAGAATACACATGTGAAGTTTGTTACCCCAAGCACCAACTGTTCAGAAGTTATGGCCAAGGTTAAAGTCTCATAAAATTTTGCAAAAGTGGGTCAAACTCCAAGGTCAAGGTCAAAAAGTCAAATATGATGGTACCCAAAGAAAGGTCTTGACACAGGGAATACACATGTGAAATATGAAAGTCATAGCTCCAATCAATCAAAAGTTATGGGCAAGGATAAAGTTGACAACAGACAGACAAACAGATAAACAGACTAACAGATAAACAGACAGACAGGACAAAAACAATATACCCCCGGGATCTTTCGATCCGGGGGCATAAAGAAAAGACTTTAGATTCACATCCAGTGAATATTAATTATGTATTTTAAAAGATTTATTCCTGCGCTTGTGCTTGAATACAAGTAGACTACAACTTTTTATCTCTACTAGTGTGAGACCAGATGAGCTTATGCGATAGTAAGGTGTCCGGAGTCCGTCCACCTATCTGTCTGTTTGTCCGTCTGTCTGTAAATAATTTTTCAAAACGCTACTACGCCTTCAGTTTTGGTATGATTAAAATATACATTGTAACTTGGCACAAAAGTAGACTACACTAAGATACTTTATTTAGTGCATCGGCTTTTGATTTCGATGAGCGTTGTTGCCATTGTTACTAAAATAGATTTTTTTTGATATTCCTTTAAAATGCTACTCCACCCACAGTTTTTGTTTGATTTCAGTATAACCTGGTAGTAGCCTACACAATGATACATAATTCATGCATCGGTTGTTGATTTGGTGAACGACGTTACAATGGTAATTTCTGTGAAATTCCTTTAAATGAAATATATGGAGATTACGAACTGTATTCAAGCTCAAAGGTCCATTAAACAATACAAAATAGGAGCAGAGCAAACACGGACCTCCAAAACATCAGAGTAGGGATCAGATGCCATGGAGGAGTGAGCATCCCCTGCCGAGCGGTCACACACGCCGTGTGCTCCTTGTCATGATCGGGATATTCTTGTTTCATCAACATGTTTGTCAATAATTTACCTCGTGTTAGAAATTGTACATACGTAGAGCATGCTCTTGCGTATCGAAGCAACTAAGAGATATAAACCCCATATGCAGGTAAATTTCTGGCAGTACGGCCGACGCCCTGCGTTTACATTAAGCTATGAAGATGAAATGTA